ACCTACCTGTTTAGCGTAACGGGGGGGGGGGGGTACCCCTGTTTCCCCTGCCATAGCGGTTAGACTTTGGACGAGGACGAGGAGGGGGGGATAACAGGGAAGAGCGCTTCGCTTTACGCTATTGTTTTGGTTCCTACGAACGGTGATCGATAAATCACAGCTTTTACGGCGTTCACACTATTTCGCGCGTCGGCACATGGGAACGCGCGCCCGGGGGGGAGGGGGAGTCCGCAGACTGCATTACAAAAAGTGCTGACTACGTACGTTGAGAGGGGAGTAGACGCCTCGATGTACATTGACACTTGGAAAGCTTCGTTCACTAGGTACCATACGAATTTATGCTTCGGTTGGGGCACGCAATCACACAAAAACAGCACGGGCTCCGGCGGCACCTCTCTACGGCTGCTACGCGCTACATGTCTGTTACACGTGTTGCTGAAGGGAGTTCTTCGGGAGGTTTAATCTCTGTCGCACTAGTCGGCGCCACTGCCTTTTAGCAGCAGGCGTAATCAGCTACGCTCTTATTCATTTGCCAACGGCCAAAGCAACCAGCGAACGAGTGGCATCTCCCCGCCCTTCGGGGTCAATGGTCTAACGACTACGGTATGCACCCCTATGAGTACACTCCCCCCACCCTCGCGAAAAGTTCAATTCCTCACCAGTGCAACGTCCGTACGTTCTTGAACCGTGTGAGGAAGGCCAGGTTGTCTGGAGTGGCCCAGGTGATGGTGTTCACGCCGGACAAGGCCAGCACGGACAGCGAGGCCTCAACGGTGTCGCGGAAGGCGCGCCCAAGCTGCCGGCACCTCATGCCCTGGGCGGAAACGGCATGCGCAACAAGAGAAAAAAAAATGACCGACGCTATGTATCGCACATACAGAAGTAGCTTTCGCAGGGTTTTTCGAAAAGGTGAAAAGGTTTAACATGTTGGATGAAGCACACAATCGGGGAAGTTGGGTTAGGGTCAGGGTCATGGAATACGGTCTGCGTACCCCCTCCCTGTTCCATTTCCTCATCCTCATCCTCATCAACTTAATCTCTCGCGAAGGCGGTCCCGTACATGCGTCATCGGGGCTCTGTCTTCGCCCGCGGTGGTTAGTCAGAAGACGAAATCGAACTATTTTTCGACTACTCAGCGCTGAACAGTCGAATGGCTCGATCTCGGCTTCAAAGGGCTCAACGAAAGAGAGGCGGTGGGTCAATCGCCATGACGCCACGATACGACCAACAACAAAACATGGGCTTGTCGTGGGTGATGTTTCGAGGTATATACGACAAATAACTCACGCACATAATCAGCTACAGTAGGTGGTCCGCTACAAGTATAGTGCAGGGGAATGTGCAGAGATGTACACCATTCAAGCACGCACGAGACGTACCAAAAATGCCCTGCCCACAAGCCCCCCGCTCTTGTCTCTACTTCTTCTAAACAAAACAACGCTTGCCTGGACCCGATATGTCGGGGCCCCTTCTTGCCTATCCCCCCCCGCCACTCCTGTTCTCTTGCGCCCCCCCCCGCAGCCTCGGCGCTTCGCTCAGATCGGCGCCTCTTCAGCCAGCCAATGGCCGGCGTTTTAAACGCTCCAACTAAAGACACAGCAGTTCTTACATACACGCGCGGCGCGGATGCCAAATGGTGCCACCAGGTAGGACGCCTGCCATACCACCCACCTCGCCCAGCTCTAGGTAGTCGAGCGCGATAGTCCAAGCCCGGTCCGGAATCCTGGTGATGCCGACCCTGTCCGCGAATATCAACCCCGACGCCCTCCTCGACATCACGCCTCCTCCTCCTGCTCCTCCCTGACCTCCTCCGCTCCGACTTACACCGCTCCCCCCTCTCCCCGCCCCCCCGCCAATCGAGGACGACGAGGGAGGCATCGCGATCTGTTTCGAGGTCGGGGAAGGGTCCCAGTCCATGCTGCTGACGCTCCCGGCGGCGTCCGCATCTGCTGTTGTTGCTGCCGCCGCCGCCGCGAGGCTGCTGGCCACTGCTGGTGCTCTCGGGAGAGAAACCCCTGGCGTAACGGAGGAACGAGGGCACGGAAAGAGGGAGCTGTATGGTGTGTGCGTGCGTCTTTCATGTTGGCCACGACCGCGCTAAAACCGGCTGGCTGACCAATGAAAAGAACATCCCTGTGTGTGTGATGCTAACAAGACCCAGAAAGCGTCGTCCAATACAAGCGGGGACGCAAAAAAACAGCAGCACGATCGTGCTGCCGAGCGCTCTGCCGAGGCAAGCGGCCGTTCCCTACCCCCGCTGCAGTACTCTAGATTGGTGCAAGACATGTGGTTAGACGGACGGTGTCATGCTCCGAAAAAGTCGACAAAGCAAGCACGTGAAAACACCCCTGCCTCCTGCCGAGCATTCACGTCCCCCGAACCCGTCAACCGTTTGTCACGGCCTTCACAGCAATACCACCAACCATGCTCCGACATATCGTACCAAACACATACATCGCGCGGTCTTTTAAGACTCTGCGTCCAAACTCACCACGCGAGAACAGAGAATGCAGACTTGAATCCGAACACAGCCAAAGCGTACACCCAGCTCCTCAGGATTGCACCATAGCAAGGCACTCCCCTTTCAGCATCAAACAAGCAAAACCTAACCCCCTTTGCTTTTTTTCTTTTTGTGCACACGCAGGGATGATGGCCAGCTTCTGGTGCATCCTTGTCAAACGTAAGCCTGGGCCGGCGAAAACCCGGCATACACATCGCTCCTCCGTCCCGGCATTGTAGGGATGCGAGGCCAACGATCTACCGACTACGGCATGCGTTTACATGAGAACACCCCCCCCCGCCCCCCCGCCCCCCCCTGCGACTCACCACTAGCATCTACCGGTGCCGCCTCTGCTTGTGCTTCAGCCGCTGCGGCAGTGGACTCCGCCATGGCTGCCACGGGCAGGCAGCTCGTCAACACGTCGTCGATCATGCTCTGGCAGTCCGGGCGCGCCTGTGCAAACAGAGAGGTACATCGAGAGGGGGGGGCGGCGGGGGTGTAGAGAACAGTAGGTCAGGCTCTCGGCGAGACTACTTCGGTGGGGTGCTGCAGGGAGGATGCCGCAAAGTATAAATCGTCGTGCCCTGTTCAACTAATTTAACGCCTGGACGTGACACACATGATGGCACAACCAAAAACAGAAGCGCCCGTGATAGTGGCATCCGGCCGCAGAGTAGACGCACTTTACACACCAACAAAGCAAGCGTGAATGTAGTGAAATGACACATTGAGGGCATGTCCGCAACATACTACTCATAGGGGCCAAGCCTCTTGATGTCGATCATGATAACACACCACACGCAACAACGGATATGTATTTAGCACAGCAGAGCGGTATCATCACGTAAGCATCTGTCGGGTACATGTGCTGTGAAAAACGCATCTCTGATCGACGTCGACATGGTCGACATGAAGAGCCGCTGCGCAACGTACCGATGACACCGACTGAATAACCGTTATTGGGCAGGTTAAACGTCTCTAGCATCTGTTGCTGGTGTTTGCTCCAAATCGACAAATATAATTTGCGCGAAAACTCGTTGACGCCCAGCGATGCGAGGTCGCCCCGTCCAACACAACCCCCTTTTTTCGCGCAAAAAAACAAAAACACAATCTCCGTCAAAATACCGACGTGAGTAACCAACTTGGATATTTCACACAGCAGAGTAACATCATCACATGTAAGCATAATCAAAAACACATCAAAAACACAACAACTCATGAACAAGAGAGCACAGCAGGAAAGAGATGCAAATTTCTATCAGAGGACTGCGTAATAACCCGCAAAGTATACGGTCAGCACCAAGAGCCACTGCGGAACGTAACGCACGGATGACAACCAACGTGACCGTTCTTGGGCACGTTAAACGTCTCTTGCATCCGTTGTTTGTTTGGTGTTTGCTCCAAATCGACGAATACCCATTGAAGCCCAGGGGTGCGAGGTCGCCCCGCCCAAACACAACAACCCCTTTTTTTCGCGCACAAGAACAAAACACAAAACTCAGTCAAAATTATCCACGGCCCGCAACAACAATCGCTCTACCTCCACCACCACCACCGTCACCGAGTCCTCCGACGCTGGTCGTGCGTCTCAAGTGCTCAAGAGAGCAAGACCTCTGGCCTTCCTCGCGGCTCGCACTGCAACGGAGTGCCGGTCCCGCACCTTCAGCAGGTACCCGCCGGCGTGGCGGTGGTCCTGCAGCGGCAGACGGAGAGTCTTCGGCGTCTGCGGCTCCTGGAGACCACGGTCAACCCTACCGTACTTTGTAGCCACGATGCTCTACGTGTTTGCACTTGCCAAACAACCATACTGTATACACAGATGTCGCGTGAAACACCGATAACTATCCGCCTCACAGCGTACATCGTCCGCCGCGTGTCGCGCGTTCCCCAACGGTCAATGTGCTACGTTTGTGTTCGCGAATGCATCGAGACTACATACGCGCTCTGGCACAGACTTCTTCATTCTAGAGCGCAAAACCCAATCTCATCGCACTTACGGACAACCACAGGGCAACCCTCGCTCGTTTTGCAAGGTTTACTACAGCAGCGCGTGTGAATGCCTTCGCCTTTCCGCGTGTGTTTACTTGAGGACGTCCACGAAGTTTGCACCAAAAAAATGCCCGCTTTTGCACGTGAGCTTTAACGACAACGCTCACGAGCCGTGGGCATCTCAACACTTTTTTTTTCTTGACGTTCTCCGCAGGTGCAGCCACTCCTCCGTCCACTCTCGTGCCCACCGAACGGCAGTCTCCTCTCCGCCATCCACGCCTCAGGAGGTCGTAGCACCGTCTTCTCCTACCACCGTCCGGTGCATCAGGGGCGGGAGAAATATCTCCATCGTACGTACCACGCCGGACTCACAGCCGGTGCCACCGGAACGCGACCTCGAGTACATCCGTCCTCGGGACAAACTGCTCAATCGCCCTTATTCCTGAAGGAAAATTCTAACCCACCCATGCCCCTTTGCCCTTTTCACCTCCAATTCTCAGGTGGGCAAACGGTGCCGCAAGTGCAAGCGCGCTGACCCGACCATACTAGAAATCCGACCAGCTATATAGTGGCCAGAGTGCCACTCCCTTACACCTCGGGTTCGCCGTAAAGCTCCTCCAAATTTTCTTGAAGGAGCTTCGCGGCGCACCCGAGATGTAAGGGAGTGGTACTCTTCGCCACGGATGGTCGGGTCAGTGCGCTTGCACTTGCGGCACCGTTTTCCCACCGCTTGGAGCCTGGTGCCCTTGGCGAGCGCCTGGCGAGGCCTCTTGGTAGAAGGTTCCGAGAAGGCGTCCCTGGCCGCCTTCTTCGCGGCGTTCTTCGCGGAGTTAAGCACTTCGCCTTCCGCTCGTCGGCGGTGGCGTTGATTGCAGTCTCCCACTCCTTGCGGAGCGTTACGGCGCAGCCTAACCCATGAGCATAGAACTGCCGGCTTAAAAGGCCGGAACAAGTTGATGAGTGCCAGTAGCGGGACGAGAAATGACTCTGCTCGGCTGGGTGTTTGGAGGTTCGGCGATCTAGGCGTGCAGTTACCTATCACTTTTCGATTCAAGTATTTGAGCTTGAGCGATGAGGGTAACAAGACCTGCAAGCATTGCAGCGCAAGAATGTGGAAAGAAGAGAGTATCAACTGTCGCGGACAGGGCAAGTACGCTGTGCATAGCTTGAAGCCGTTGCCGGCGGGTGTTATGATCGCTCTTAGTTCTGCTAAGATACAACAAATTTTTTTCACGTGTCTCGGAGCCAGCCCTGGCAAGGCCTGGGTGCAAATGAAACCACCAGCAACGATGAAGTTACACGGCCGACCGTATCACCGTATCATGGACAGCTTCAGAAATTCATACAACAACACCCGGCCGTCACAAAACAACGTTCGCATGTACATTGACGACCACGAACTGCAAAGCACGGGCCGATCTCTTCACCTCGACGGCAAAACAGTAAAGAATACTGCGCAACAACTGCGCGAACACAATTCATGGGTAAAGCAGTATATCGTGCTCTTCTCGTTGAGATAGACAACTCCGACGAAGATAACACGAGCATCTCTTTGTACAGAAGTTCCACGAATTCAGCCCACCGCAAGAACAGAACTGGCCGCCTTGCTGTACAAAGATAACCTAGACGGTACGAGGCAGGCGACATGTCTACACCTACCCACGCAACGGACCACCGGAAGAACGCGACAAACCACGCTTTGCTCCAATCTGTACGAGTTCATACCTTACAGCAGTATCCTCTGTTATATGTATATTGTTTGGAGACAGTGGATGGTCTCCAGGTGATTTTGAAGACGGAAGGCCAGACCGTACACTATCCACCACAGGAAAAGCTCGAATCTACGCGCGGCAGCGATTAATGATAGAACTTGTCTTCCAGCAATTGTCTACTGTTGCACAGGAGCGGGAATGCAACCAGTACGCAACCAAATATGACCTCAAACCCAGCTACGTAGAAAGGAAGCTTCCAGATAAAAAGAATGGCCACCAAAAAAGCCGTTTTCATAATGCACCCGGGACAAAAAAAGTGGGCACGCGTAAGTTTCACGGGTCTCGCAGAAACAGAAAGAGAAATCAGCTAGACGCTATAGGCCGTTGTTGCGCGCATGGACCCTCCTACCTTGAGGGTGACCTTTACTGCCAACCTTCTTGACCAGACGTTACTGAAAAACTGCTACCAGAGGACAAACTGGAATGGATCGACCAGCCCTTACCACCCATACCCAAACCCTCCCGCTGCTAACGTCTGCGACGTTTCATACTATTTATTTACCCGAGCTTTCCACTACGCCACCCTTCGGTACACCATCTCTTACGCTTTTCACTCCCTCTTAGTGTGTTGGCGACTTGTGCCACACCCCCGGGAGCGCATGCACCGACCTCCCGAACCTTGTAGGTACTCCGTACCAACGAGGGAAAGGGATGACTGAACCGTGTCGCGATAAAAGCTAAGGGTAGCACTACTTGTACAGGAGGGAAGAGTGGGACAAAGAGAAAAAACACGCACGCACACCTTGCTTCCCAGCACAACATACAGAGAGATACACAAGACGGCTACCAGACTGTCTTGTTGAGGCTGTTACTCACAGGGGAGACATCGACGTGTGCTGCTCGGGAATCGGTAGAAATACGTTTGTTTCCGCTGGTGCTACGAAAATTGATCGCCGATCTATCGTAGACTCTTTTCGACTTATATATAAGTATAAGATATTGAGAAAAATGATAGCACAAAAAGCTCCTGTGTGACCTTCCTCTTGTGTGACCCGGCTGATGCGTCAGGTATATACACCGAAAGGCCTGGAAACCGGCGCCAGAATAGATGGGACGAATACACACACGCAAGCTTTTGGTGCTTGCCCTCCTGGTGGCTTTCCTGTGTGAAGCCATTTTTTTTTTTTTTTCTTGTTGTTCCGTGGAGCCAGCCTAACAGAGTCTCCCCCGGCTCTCGGCGTACGTTTCACGCAACCAGCCGGCGTCACAACACAGGAAGAAATGTACACCTCTTGCACCTCCTGCGATGCTCGCAAACACTTGTAGCTACTGTAACACTAAGTAGACGGTGCGGACAGTTGACGTATGTAGATGTGCCGCCTCCACTACTGTGCGTTCAACCGAACAGACGGACGGACGTTGTTTTTGTTGCGGTTTGGCAGGATGTCCCTGTCTGTGGTCATACAACGTACAGCTCTTGGAACAGAGCCTTGACCAACAAAGAGAGGATGGTAGGACAGAGAGCTCCCGAACCGCTACTGTAGGTGTCGGTGTTGTGTGGGGACGTATGCTGTGTGGTTCAGCAGCAGGGACTACGACAGCATACCAACCCCAACGTTAGCAAATCCTATTTATGTAGCACACACGCACACATTCCTCCTCTGTTCGGTTGACTCCACCCCCAGAGAGCTACCGTTGGTGCGGTGTTCAAGAAGCTAACTTGTTGCAACCGCTCTCTCTCTCTCTCTCTCTCTCTCTCTCTCTCTGCTGCTGCTGCTGTTACCTGAAAGCATGTCAATTCGCGTGCCGCAACCAGATCTGCTCGCAGCTTGGCAAGGTCGAGAGAATCAGAGCTGGGCTCCAACGAGGAGCGCCCGGGAGTCCCTGAGAGCGATGGTCGCCCGCGGAACGACATGGCATCAAAAGAAATCGGCGCTGTTGTCTCGCTGTGCGACTCTCCTGCTCTCCACACACAGCAGCAACGCGGTTGGCGTGCGGTTTGTTTGTCAGGACGCGCACCACACTGCACTGAACACAACAACAACAATGGCAAGGGGCTCCGCAGTCTGGGTACGGGTATGCGGGGGGTTTCGTTCGCATAATCATTTCCCATGATGATGATGATATGAACATCCCATGATGATGATGACATGAACATAAAGCAGTTCAGACACACACAGCTTCTTCCCAGCGTAGCCGCCTGGCATCTGTTGCTGGCAAATCTTGCCAACCGTTCCGAGAAGCACGAGTGGACGTCGAACAAAAGTCGAGAGCCGATTTTCCGTCTCTAGACGGTCCGCTACACAACCGCACTGCAACCGTCCGATTTCTTCCGTTGCCGCAACAGCACAATCGACAACAACACCAAGCAAGCTCGTCGCGATGCAGCAGGCCCGATCGCTCGTCTTCGGGCTTCGACCTCCACCTTGCCGTGCCAGCAGCGTGCTCTCCTTCACCCAGCCCGCCCGGCCTTGGATCTCCCGGCCGGCGTCTGCCCTCCACAGCAGTAGTAGGCGTCACAGCGGCGGCGGCGGAACCTCGTCCTCAACAAGGCAGGCACCAAGGGCAGCAGATCCTGTCTCGACCAACGGCGCCATCATGAGCAGCACCGGCAGCAGCAGCAGCAGCAGAAGAAAAAGGACGTGGTGGGGAATGGCGCTGGAAGGGCCGGGTGCTTTCTCGGTGGCGCCGAGGAGAGGTCGGCCTGCTGCTGCTGCTACTGTGCCCCGCCGGCTGCTTGGGCATCATGAACAACAACGCATGTTCCTGCTGCCTCCCGCCCGGAGATCCACGTCCACTGAAGCGGGCGGCGGCGGCGGGGTGGTAGAGGAAGGCGCTCACGGCGAGAGCGAGGTCGAAGACGAGGAGGGCGGAGACGGGCTTCTTGCCGCGCTGGCAGACGAGCTAGTCTGGGAAGGGGATGGTGACGAAGGGGAGGAAGATGGTGAGGAGGAGGAGGAGGAGGAGGAGGAAGCCGGGATGGAGGGATTGGATCTCGAGAGCTTGGGGATATCCATAATGGTCAGTTCGCGCTTTGTTCGATGTGATATGATTTGTACATCGAATTAAAAGAAATACTTTCTTCGCTCTAGAAATAGCCACAGCAGTAGTCGAAGGGGATGGGTTGAAGTTATTTTTCAGTGAATGTAGGTGTTGTTTTGGAGCATGGACTCCGGCTGTATTGGTATGCATGTGTGCGACACACCGATGGCAAGAGACACATGATTCGTTTACTCAGAGCCGAGAGATCGGTGCCTGAGATCTCCCCCGCGATGCGATGGCAAGGCTACCAAGCTTTGAGCAACGCTACCAAGCATCGAGTAGGCGTCCTGTTCCCTTGCGGGCGGCGCACCATCGTGTGTGCCGGTACACATCACATTCAAACACCGCCGTGCGCGCCGAACACTTCTTTCCGTTCAAGCACTTGCATGCCTCCACCTGAGAGAGAGAGAGAGCATGGGAACCATTCGCCAGAACGTTCTTTGGCGTGCCTGTCTTGCCCTCGGCTCTGTGTTGTTTTTTCGGGCCAGGACGATGAGGATGCGGAGGAAGTGCAGGAGCAGCTGCGGCGAGAGTGGGGGACAGCCTCCGTGCAAAACGAGCAGAAGGAATACGAAATCGACACTGCCGAGCTGCAGTCAAAGGTGCAGTGGCCTTCCTTCCTTCTGCGACTGGGTTCGCGCCATGCCGTAGTTTTCGTAAGATACCACACCCCCCTGCACCGATTTCGCGAGAACAAACATGCCGCAGGCTGCGCAAGGTACCACGCCCCCTCCCGTGCACCAGATTTTTAGAGCTAGAAACTCGACCACACGAGGAGGTTGCCACAGCAGTCGACAGATGCGTTTTTGGAAAGCTCACTATTATAGTGTCATTTTCTACAGCGCCCCAGCGTCGCTGCTGTTGTGTTTTTTTGCTGCAGAGTAGTCGAGCTTTGCAAGTTGGCCCAGGGGTGTGGTGTCTTCCGTCACGCCACCTAAGGCATGTCGTTAAGCGTAGGGTCGGTTGCGATGTCGACCGAGGTGAGCGCGTGTTCTCGTGCCGGCGAAGTAATTTCCGGGGGGTGGCCGATCCATCCAAGTCGGTTTAGAGCGTACCCACACACGGAGTACATACGTAGTGCTGCACTCCTTGTGCGGACACTCAAAAAGGCTTTCGACGCGCTACATTCGCCACGATGGTTTGGTAGACGGTATATGCATAGATGTCATAGGGATGGACAAAATAGACGCTTTTTCTCGTGCGGCGTAGCTGACATTGTTTGAATAACGTGTGCACAAACGTCGAAGATCTTTCGGAGTGCTATATACGAATACCCCCCATCTCCTGGTTTTGCACAGCAAAACGCAAGGGTGACCGCCAGCTTCCGGCTCATTCTTGTGAAACGCAGTAGCTTGGGCCCGGTACGTCGCTCCGCTCCGGCATTGTAGGGATGCGAA